GATGACTGTCATATTGATGCCTCCGCGAAAATTGGGGAAGTTGGTTTTGAGCAAACAACCATGAATTGATCGTTCAATCTTCAACTGCACTAGCAACTGCATTCAGATCATAGTGCTTCCTTTGAAAACCAACTGGTTCATCACATCTGCAATGTATCTGGCGTTCGAAAGACACGCACGACTCCTTATTACATAGAAGGAAACGGTTTGGTGAAACGTACTAATCGGACACTCAAGAATATCTCACGTGCTTTTCTCGATCGCTTATCAACTGACGCTTAGGATGAGACGCTGCCTCAGTGTCTCTTGGATTATCGTTCTTCTGTGCACTCCTCCAAAGGTTTATCACCTGCGTTACTTCTGTATGGCCAAGAATTACGCCTTCTTATCGAAGTCCAAGTTCCTTCCCTACCCTTTGGAAAGATTGACCATATCGCTTATGTCCGACAACCGTTTGGCAATTGCTTACGATCTGGCGCGCACGCAACAAAAGTTGTCAAGTTGCCATCAGAAGAATGTGTATGACCGTTTCGCTTGTGGCCCAACTTATGCTGTCGGTGATCACGTCTGGCCTCACCGTCCTCCTGAACCGAATGCGAAATTCTACTCCACATGGCACGAACCCTTTGAGATTGTGCGGACATGTCCATCCACAACTTCTTGAGAAATATTCAGCAACCGAATGGCGATGTTATTCCTGCCCACTAAAATCAACTCAAGCCGCATCGCCCTTTTCCATCCAATAATCGGCCCTCTCATGATGAACCACCACCCGCCAGCTGTCAATATAAAGCCCCAGCCGTTGGAGGTGCAGGCTATAAAATTCCACCCTTGGCGACTGAGGACAGTGCCCCCCAGAGGAAGGGGGACAGTGTAAGAGAGACAAAACCCATATTATAACACTAATCAATATTTTATTTTCTCCACTTGGAGGAGACACCCGGGAGTCGACTGTCTCGATCAGGAGATACAGGAGTTGCAGAGCCTAAACATTAATGAAGCTCAGTAAAACTGTTGTACCCTAAAACTTTATCCATGTGCTTTCTAAAAGTCAATTTCATGGAATAAATGCACTTCTGCACAGTTCGTGTTCTGTTCTCATTACCTGTGTGCCTGCTGGTCTGCCTGTTACAGATGTCAAGTCCAGAGGTAAGTAACTCGTGCGTGTTGCTTAAAAATCCCTCCCCAGGAAAAACGTTCTCACAGATAGACAGCGTCTGGACGAATTATTTCGTAACATCGAGTTGGGGGATCAGTCAGCCGTAAGCATGCTAACAAGAATGAGTATATTAAATATTATAATTTAGATTTAAACCAAAGTCTTATGTTCTATTCTTATAAAGTTTCTAGAGGTCATTTTCCAATTTTTAATTTCATAAAACAGTGTTCAATTTCAGACTGCACTTGTCTAATATGATCATGCCTGTACAAACGGTATGTGAATCATGTGAATGCTTAATTTATGTGAAATATATTATTATTATTAGGGGTTATTGACCAAAGTCAGCTCGATGAAGGACTTTTCAGAGAACTCTTCTCAGAAGTAAACCTATCCTTATAGGGTGCGTATACCGACCGCCATCATCCAACCGCGAATACGATAACGTACTCAGCAACATATTTAGTGTTGCATCCAATCTCCCCTTCAGTTATAATATAATTGGAGGTGACTTCAATTTGCCTGATATATCATGGCGTACACTTCGTGGACCCTCGAGGTATGATAATCTTCTTAATTCCATCATTACTGGAGGATGGACGCAACACATAAATGTACCCACTAGGTCCAATAACATTCTTGATCTTATATTCACGATCAACGTAGCACCATCTACAATTCATGTGGGACATGAATTCCCAGGTAGCGATCATAAAATAGTTGCATGTTCGTTTAACATTTCCCCAGAAACTATACACAGAAACGAAGTTAGTCGGACACCTATAAGACCATACACGCGGGTTGATTGGGACTTGTATCAGGACTTGATTAGATACTCTAATTGGGATTCCTACTTTACCAATGACTCCTTAGAGGAAGTCCTTAAAAACTTCTATGACAATATACAGTCGGTTAATGATGTCATAGCGCCTGTGAAACTGATTAAATTCAAAATCCCTCAAGGTGATTTTATTCCAATATCATTAAGAAGAAGTTTGCGGAAGCATTCATTAAGTTACTATAGACATGACGACTTATCGTCGTTAATCGCTATCAAATCAATCCTCATTAGAATCCATGAGTTAAAAAATCTAAGTCTTAGGAATAAAGAAACGCGGGCAATTCAGTCGCCACATAACACTGGAGAAATAGCCAAACTCTTCAAAAGTAGGTTAACTAACTCCAAATCAACATATCCAAAAATAATACACCTAGGTGGCATTACTCACGAAAGTGCTGAGGATATATGTGAGGTGTTTAGCACGCACTTTGCCAAACTGTACACTCTAGAAAATGACCAGGATATAGATTTCCCTCGTAAAACAGAAAAGTGTCTAAGCGATGTAGTCTTAAACGCCCAAGAAATCGATAAAGCTATCACAACTCTTAAGCTTACTAATACTCCCGGCCCAGATGGAATGTCTTCCGTCCTCTTAAAAAATGGTGGAAATGACATGAATCTACTTCTTCTCAAGATATTTTCAACTTCGATAAGGAGTGGAACATATCCAAATAGCTGGAAGAAATCCTACGTTGTACCCATTCACAAAACCGGACCTACAGCGGACATAGATAATTACCGCCCCATCAACATTACTTCCGTAGTTTCACGTGTGATGGAAAAGATTGTAAAGAAGCAAATTGTTCAGTATTTGCTCTCGAATGACTTAATATCCCCTTTCCAATACGGTTTCCTAAATAGAAGATCGTGCATTACGTGCCAGTTAGATTATTTCGACCACATTACTGAATGTGTAGACAAAGGTCGTTCGGCAGCAACATTATTTCTAGATGTTAGGAAAGCTTTTGATAAAGTCCCACATAAAAGACTCATACTGAAACTCCTATCTTATGGAATAAGTGGAAGGCTTCTTGAGTGGATAACTTCCTTTCTTACAGGAAGAGAACAGTTAGTTAAAGTCAACCATCACTTATCAACATCCAAACCGATAACCAGCGGCGTGATACAAGGTAGTGTTCTTGGCCCTACCCTATTCATTGTATTCATAAATGATATTGTCTCTATGATCAAGTATGGCAAGCCATACCTCTTTGCAGATGACCTCAAAGTTGTCTATGATTTTGACTATAATGATATGAATATTGTTAGTAAAATCCAAGAAGACCTAAATAGTCTATGTAATTGGAGTGAAAAGTGGCAGTTAACGTTCAATCCAGCTAAATCTGGGATAACATACTTCGGACGTTGGAAACCTAGCATGTGTCTATACATGTACGGTGACCTTGTCTCAAACACAAACACAGTCACAGATCTCGGGATAACATACTCAGATCTTACCTTTACTGAACATGCAAATAAGGTGGTATCTGATTGTAAACGTCTAACCGGCTTTGTGCTACGCAACTTTTACACTCCAGAAGCCAGATTAGCCATATATAAGATATGCATTCGCCCCAAACTTGAATACTGTGCCCACTTATACAGTAGCTTTAAATCAGCAGACAGAAAAGAAGTTGAAAGTGTCCAAAGATTCCTTACGAAACGCATATTAGGCTATGGTCAGCAAATAGAATACCTTGACAGATGTATTCGACTGGACTTAGAGCCCTTATGGTTAAGGAGAGTGAAGTGCAATTTATTTCTCTTATTCAAAGTTATAAGAAAGCACTGTAACAGTAACTCGTCCATAACCTGGGCTAATCCTAAATCGTATGGACTACGCAACCACAACTACCTTCTCAAGGTTAACACCCATAAACTCACCACTAGAGCTAACTTCTTCACCATTAAATATTGCAAACTTTGGAACCAACTACCCTCTGAGATAAGATCCTGTGAAAGGCCTGACAGTTTCAAAAGGAGCCTAGAAAAACATATAAACATGTCCACCCTAGCCCGCCTCAAAGATCTCAACTGCTGGTAGAGTGGAGAGACAATGGCTTTTCAATATTTAACTACGGAAAGTACACTAGTCCCAATACCA